AGTCAATATAACCTAAAAATCATTCCTTATCTGTAAAAAAGAAATTGTCATTAGTTTTTATAGCTATATATTATCCCATTATGTGGATTTATCATAATCTATTAACCACTCTGATATATGTGCAAATTTAAGTTATTCCTAATATTTCGAAATTATAAACAGTGCTGCAGTGAATAGCCTTGTGCATATGTAATTTTTTAAAAAGTTTTTAAAGGCGTATCTTTAAGGCAGATTGTTAGAAGGGCGATTCCTGGGTCAGAAACTTAAGTGCATATGGAGTTTTTAAGATACTGCCAAATTTCTCTCCAGAAGGTTGTCTTAGTTTGCATTTCCAACAACAGTAGATGAGAGTGTCTTTCTATAACCTTGCCAAGAGAATATGTTGTCCATACGTTTTAAATTTTGCCAATCTGATAGGTGGGAAATGTGATTTTAATTTGTATTTTTCTAATTACAAGTTTGAATATTTTTACATATGTTTAATGTCCATATTTCATATACTTTTCTATGTGTGAATTGTCTTTTTATGTCTTCTGTGCCTTAAAATTATTAACATTAATGCCATGTCAGTATTTTCCATAATGCTGTGTTTATATCTATGTAGTTAGCCAGTTTTCCTAGCACTTTTAAAAAAAATTTTATTTATTTATTTATTTATTTATTTATTTATGCGTGTGTGTGTGTGTGTGTGTGTGTGTGTGGCCAGCTCAGCCCACCAGGGGGCGGGACTACCTGGCATGTGGTGCTGGGGGATTGAACCGTGGTCCCTGCGCTTTGCTGAGCTTGTTCTAAGTAGGTGCTTTAGACCACTGAGCCATCTCACCAGCCCCTTTCCTAGCACTTTTTGTTGAAATGATTATCCTTTCTCCACTGCTCTGTGGTCTGTGTTGGGTTTATTTTTAGGTTCACTATGGGATCTTACTCACTCACCTCTTTTCCTGTCTTTAGGCCAACATACATTATCTCTGTTGCTCATGCTTGGTAAGAAGGCTTATTAGACACAAGTCCTCCTGCCTTGTTCTTTGGGAATATATTTTGTATTTTTGCTCATTTGCTTTCCCTTGTATGTTTTCAAGTGAACTTTTAATTTTTTTAATATATCAACTGAACTTTAAAAGTTCTTTTTAGACAACTATCAGAATTTTTCAGATTGCATTCAATATATAAATCAAGTTGTGGTTACTTTATATGTTAACCTTCTTTCCTATTGTTTATGAGCTTCCTTCTTTATGCTATCACTTTAAACAGATCAGTAAGATCTGGGTATACTTGCACATACCTGTAATCCCAACTAATATGGAGAATGAAATAGGAGAATTGCAAATTTAGGGCCAGCCTGAGCAATTTGGAGAAACTCAATTTCAAAATGTTTAAGGAAAATGTAGGTAGATACTGGGATATATAGCTCAGTAGAGAGAGCATATACGTAGGGCAACAAAGCTAGTTTTGCCTGTCTTGACTTTTTCAAAAGCTGTAGATTTGGCCTTGCCTCAACAGTGCCTCTTTCTTGCAGCTTTCCTAACACATTCTCTGTGGTGGCACTCCTGGAGACCTTTAGTTACAAGCACGTATTTAGAGGTTGTTAGCAATATTACGTAGGCCGTGGTAATGTACTCCTAACTTAGGGTGAAACACTTATCTAGTGTTAAAAGTTAGGTTTTTCTCTTTCAAAATATACACATAAATGGATCTCTCAATGCTGAATTAATGCCTCCTCTGGGAATTTAGAATATGTGATTTCTGTATTGTGCACAAGCACCCTGTCATGAAAAAATACTGCCTATTACTTGGCATTTATTATGTATGCAATTGGACAAAATAATTTTTTGAAAGGCATAAACATTTTAAGAAATATTCCACTTTAAAAATAAGAATTTATGTTCTTAAAATACTAATTATCTTAGGCTTAGCAAGCCTTGAAGTTATCATACATATTAAGACCAATTCAAATGAATGTGGTAATATAATACATGGTATGGAGCAACGATGGCATGAATTAGAACAGCATTTTAAAAGTGCAGTACATATGTCGTTAACTGGTACATTTAAGAAATTTGTTTAGGAAAAGGTAGTGATTAGATAGGCAAGTTGGAGGGAGGAGCACATTAAATAATATGTTGGCAAGCTTCCTGAAATGCATATGCATAGTGATTAGAGGCATATTGATTTTTAAATGTCAGCCAGCTTTTATTCTCTTCTTTTTAAAGCATCTATTTGTATGAACATGATTATTCGTACTTCTAAAGGAGTTTTTTCAAGCTTTTGTGAACATTTGTTATACAGTATAGGAAAAAAATTACTACCACTATTTATAACTAATATTGTGATACTGCCAATGGTTTAAAATTTTGTTGGTTAGGTTCATTTCTTTTTTGTCAAGTGATGGTTAAGAAATTCTCTATTCTACTGTTGAGACTTTTGGGACATTTTTTATACTTTCTACTTGAATCTACTAAACAAATGCCTTTAAGAGTATGTTAAAATACATTATAAAAAATAATCATTTCCCATTCTTAAATATAAAAACTTCTTGCTAGATTAGTTCAATTCAGAATTCTGTTCATCTGCTATTTATATTGTTAGTGATCTTTAGTGCCCTAATAGGCCCTTATAGAATGTAGAGAACAGAGCATGTTCTGGAGAGACTAAATCTGCATTATTTTATCGGATCTTTGTTTCTCTGAGAGTATACTTCATAGTCCTACTAATTCATTTTAGTGAAGGTGATTACAGAACCACCTCAGAGATATTACTATAGAACATCAACGCCATCATACTTTCAGAGACGTAAGTCTATGAATGAAAGTGTGTCCTGGAATTGTTATTTTTTTATTTTTTTATTTTTTTATTTTTTTTTAAACTTTTTTTTTTTGGTGGAACCAGGGATTGAACTCAGACCCTTATGCTTGCCAGGGAAGCACTTATTCCACTGAGCCATCTCCCTGGCCTGGAATTGTTGAAGTAAGCAGTTCACTAAGTGAATTTTTAAAAGACATAATCTTGGATTTTCTAATTTTCTGTGATTAGGCCAGTATAGTACACTAAAAACTTTCTTTTTGAGTTTGCAGTTTTTTCTGTACTTTAGATACCATTTAATATTACATTCCCATATTAGTTCAATAGAATTTACAGCGGTACTAGAGATCATTAGAATTCTGGTAACTCCCTTAGATAGCCATTAATTTTAACTATTCGGGCTCAGAGAAATGTTTTGGGCTAGAGATTTGAGCAGGTAATACAGGAAGATTTTTTCTTTCTTTTTTTCCCTACCCTTTTTGTTTACATAATGTTAATAATGGAATTATTTCATTTACTTACATTGTTATTAGGAAAAATTTATGATAAAAGAAGAATGAGATATGTCTATGTCTAATTTAAACACAAGGATACTTACATTCTGCACTGGCCTGCACCAGCAGCAGTTCCTCTCTGCCATGACCCATGGAATAGCTCTGAAGGCGATGTCACTTTATTCATAATGTTTCCGTGCTATCAAGGATTATACACCCCTTGCTGGGTGCATGATGGACAGCTGTAACCCTGTTACTAATGAGGCGAGGACAAGGGTAACTAGTCTGAGGCTAACCTTGGCAATTTAGTGAGGGCCCATCTCAAAATACAGTTTTAAAAACAGAAGGCGAAGGGGCTGGGGCTCTTGCTCAGCAAATATTCAAATGGCAGTACTGTAAAAAAAGAATGATAGACATCTTAGAGCTAGACACAGGAAGGAAGGATGATGCAGAAAATCTAGTAACCACTATTTTAAAAAATTTTATGTCCTTTGCATGACTTGATTTTTATTTTCATGTACTTTTGTTACATGAAATAAGCACATCTTTTAAAAGTGTAATTCCAAGGGCAGTGAATGTAAGTTAGTAGTAGAGTACTAACCTAGCATGCATCTGGCCCTGGGTTCAATCCCCAGTACTGCAAACCAAATTAATGCAAGTACGATTCCAAATCTTATAAATAAATAAATAAATAAATAAATAAACGTTTTACATACATAAAAATATATGCATTATATATAAATGAAATTTATAAATGAAAAAATAAATATTATATCATTCAGAATGCTTTACCATCTATTCCATACTTTTGGGGGGGGTCCTGTTCTCTAAAGCATTCTTTACTGTAGCCATGCTTCTCTACTCTTCTCTACATTTGAATTCTTTATATTTTCAGAATTTTAAAATGTTCTTTTTTGTGTTATCAGCTCGTTAAGGCTAAGTTGAAAGCCTGTCTATTGAAACTGTACCAGGTACCTCGTAACAAGTACCTGTTGTCCCACTGCTTTCCAGGGGCAAATATTCTGTTAGTATACAGTGATACCTGGATACCTGCCATTAGCTGGTTCCAGACCAGGAGGCTTGATGATACCCAGAATGGAGAGTACCAAACAAACTGCTTTGGCTGAAAGGGCATTGGCACTGACAAGTTTCATCTTCTATGCCCAGTACCGAGTGGGTGATGAGTACTGGGACAAAATTTTCATGTGAGAAGGTGTAAAGTACCAAATTGATTAGTTGTAAAGCACTTGAGTACCAAGGTATGCGTGAACTCTTTCTTAGCAGAAACTGCTTTTTCTTAGTTGTTTTTGCATCAGGTTATTCTGTTAGATTTTTGGGACTGAATTATTTAGGTGTATGTCTCTCCTGTGCTTCACATATGGACACACTTTAAATGTTTCTTCATTTGAATCCTTATACATTTTTGAATGTATGAATTATTTCTTTTCCTTCTTTCCCAGAGACACCTTATAGTATTTTATTAAAATTAAAAATATATTAGCATTCTACTTTTGTTTTTATTCTTAATATTTTATAAATTATTTTCTGAAAATAAGAATTATTCCTTTGGTACATACTATTCTGTAATGCAAAAGACAATAATTACATAGATAATTAGCTTTTCATAGAATCTATTACAGATATTTTGCTTATTACACAATTTTACACTTACGGAAAAGTGCTTTATAAAGGATGCTTTTTCTCTTGTAGGTTACTTCCTCAGAATGTTGGCCTTCTCTATGTTGGAGGTTTTGAAAGACCCTTTGCACAAATCAAGGTATGATATGACTTTTCTTCTAGTGTACTTTCCATATACATTCATTTGTTCAGAACCAACCAAAAATTTGCTAATAGCCATCAATATGTCAAAAATACTCTGAATTTTAAGTAATAATTTCATTGCTTTTTGTATGTTTTTGTTAAATATTAGGCTTACAAAATGTAATCATTAATGCTTATGCCATTTAAAACATTTTCATAGCTTTTACAGTAAGCAGTATATAAAGTGTACATTTTGATCTTGCCATACACTTGTGAAAACCATCACCACAGTCAAGACAATGAACTTCTCTGTCACCTACCAAAATTTATTTGAAAATCTTCCCTCCTCCCTAGCACTGATTTATGTTCTTTCAATTGTGAAGGTCTTTTGTTCTTCATATAAATGGAATCATACAGATTTTTTTTTTTCTCTTTCCCCCTGCCTTTTTTCCTTCTTAAGTATTTCAAGATGCACCCATGTTCTTGTCCTAATTGCTAGTTCATGCTTTTGTTCTGTGTTTTTGCATTTCTGGGATTGAATCTGTGACCTAAATGAGCTACAGCTCTAGGACTTGATAAAATCTTTTTTGAGACATGGTTTCACTAAGTTGCTCAGTTGCCATCCTCTTGTCTCAGCCTCCTCCAGTGCATGTGACATTGTGCTTGACTAGTTCATACTTTTTAATTGGTGAATATTGTACCACTGTATGGCTATAACATAAATTGTATTTTCACTATTGATGTCTGTACTATTTCTAATTTGGGGTCCTTTCAACTAAAACTGATAAGAATGTTTGTATACGTTTCTTCCTATGGACATATGCTTTCCTTTCTTTGAGATGACAGATGATCCTATATTTCTTCTAGGTAAATGTGTAAGTCTGTTCCATTGGCCCGTACGTCCATTTCTTTATTAATCCCAAACACACTGTGTGATTACTGTAGCATTACAGTAAGTTATGAAATCATGTAGCTTACATCCTCCTGCTGCATTCTTTCAAATTATTTTGGTTGGTCTAGGCTTCTTTCATTTTAATGATTTATTTATAGAATCGCCAGTTTATATAAAAGGGCTTGTTGGGATTTTGTTTGGGATTATATTGAATCTGAGGAAAATTGAAATCTTAATGATAACTGAATTCCCTCATGTAGATTTCATCTCTCTTCATTTATATCTCTTTAACTCGGTTATGTTTTTCTTCTCAAATTATTGGTCTTGCTATTTGTCTTAGTTACTTATTTCTTCTTGCTGGGACAAAATACCTGACACCCAGAATTAAGGAAGGAAAGGGTTATTGAGCTCCCAGTTTGTGAAGGTTTCAGTTCATACTTGGCTGGCTCCACAGCAGAGCAGCACCTGGCAGAGGGCAGCCTTTGATGGTGGTAGAAAACAGCAAAAAGCAAAGGGAGGAACAGTGGCAACATCAGCTAGCAAGCCTCTCTCCCCTGTTTTTATTGCAATGCAGATTGCATATGCCACAGGGTGGGTGTAGTGCTCACACCCATAATCCCAGCAGTGGATCACAGATTAACCACAAACTCTAGAAGCCACCCCAATGGCGAACGGCATGATTGGGGAAGCAACTATACACAAAACATAACACCATTCAAAAAATAAATATACTGATATATTTTGGAGGGTAGCGGACTGCATTTTTATTTGCATTTCAGTTTTTGGTTCATTGCTAGCATGAACTAATTTATAAAAACACATTGACTTTAAGTTCTGTAATCTTATAATATTTGGTTAGCAGTTCTCATTATGTTTGGTGGAGCAAGTACTTGGGATTGAATCCAGGGCCTTCACATGGAGTTACTGTGCATTCCCAGCCCTTTTCTTACTATTTAAAATTTTGAAAAAGGATCTTATTAAGTTGCCCACACTGAGCTTGAATTGTAAACCTACTGCCTTAGTCTCCCACAGTGCCAGGATTACAGATGTTGGCTACCAAATAGAATAGAAATGAAAAGAACAAGTTGGACAAAGTGAGCAGAAAAATCCTGTTCCTAAAAGAAAAGCCCCCCGCCCATACAGAAAGGATTAGAACAAGTTTCTTTGCTTTGTTCCTGATCTTAGAAAGGGAAGCATTTACATGTCACAATTATTTTTGTAATATTGGTTAATATAAGAGGTTATGAGTTAATTTTAACTCGACTTTCTTGTAAGAAATGGGAAAGTATTAACATTCAAGATAGCTAATAAAAATGAAGGTTTGATATCTTTTTTTTTTTTTTTTTTTTTTTTTTTTTTTTGTGGAACTGGGGATTGAACTCAGGCCCTTGTGCTTGCCAGGGAAGCGCTTATTCCACTGAGCCATCTCCCCGGCCCCCTTGATATCATTTTTCTTGTTTTCATAACTATTGTTAATATTTTTGAGAAAAAATATTTTTGAGAGATTGAAAATTATTTTGTGGATTTTGTTTAGTTTTCTGATTTTTCTTTTAATGCATGTCATGTTTTTATGCTTTGCAAACAGTGATTTTGAAAGAGTCAAAATCAGGTGAGCCTGAACAGGACATTCAAGGTACTTAGTATTGAGTACTAAGTATTGAGAACATTAGTGTTGATAGTGTTCAATCATGATATCAACATTATTAAATAATAAATTTTATCTTAGTTACTATCACATCAATACCTTTACCCATTAATTTAACTTCAGTGAAAATACTCTTAAAGATCTGTCATTAGTTTCTTAAATTGTGAAGTTTCTGAACTTGTCAGATTTTTAAATAATGACATGCACTGAAGTACATTTTCTTCTTCTAGTTTTAATTATCTGGGAACATGGGTATTGTGGTAGTGGCAAGTGTTTTTTCATAGAGTCCCTCACTATCTCATTCACTGAATTCAGGAGTATAGCCAGAAATCTAATAGATTTCAGCAAGCACATTTTGTGAAGGTTGTTTTTTTCTCAACCAGTGGTCTGGAAAATCCTTTGCTTTCTTTATTAGAACTAAAATAACTAAAAAGTGAGGAGCTTATCTGATGTATTTATGAAAGGATAGAATTTTTTGGTCAGTGAGTGTGTGGTTACATGGTATGTCAGAAAGCATGATGTTGGTATATGTACGAAGGTAATTCCTCTATCACTCACTCAGTGCATTAGTGTAACATTTTCTTTAGGTCTTTCTTAACAAGCTTGATGGCAGAGTTAAATCTTACGTCAACTTTTTTATGCTTGGATAATCAAGTCTTTTGAAAAGAAAAGTTCATTATTTTAGTATGTCTTTTTCCTTTGATGTTTCTTTTTTAAAATTTATTTATTTATGTGTGTGTGTGTGTGTGTGTGTGTGTGTGTGGCCAGCTCAGCCCACCAGGGGACGGGGCTGGCTGGCATGTGGTGCTGGGGGATTGAACCATGGTCCCTGTGCTTTGCTAAGCTTGTTCTAAGTAGGTGCTTTAGACCACTGAGCCATCTCACCAGCCCCTCCTTTGATGTTTCTATGGGAAAGATTTCTCTCATTCACTGAAAAGATTTCTTCTCTAAATCCTCTCTCTCAATATAAGTAGACCTCTAATTCAGATACTTAAATGTCCATTCCAAAACAATAAAACAATCAAAGTTTAAATTTTTGGATGCTTGGGTTGGAGGGAAAGCTCAGTGGTCTAAACACCTGCCTGGCAAGCACAAGGACACAGGTTTGATCCCCAGTACTGTATGCTGTGCCAGCCCTGTACCATGCTGGCCACTGAAACGGGATTTGGTAGTGCACACCTGTAATCCTAGTGCTGGGGAGCCTGAGACAGTAGGATCACTAGAGTCTGAGCTGCATTGTGAGATCCTGGGCCACATACATAAATTTTTGAATGCTTGAGAAGGTGTTAGAAATTTAAGATCCATTTACTACCTTGCCTATGTCTCACTTTTATTAAGCATGAAATAGTATTTGTTAAATTCGTTTTTCTCCCATTAAATTTCATGTAATGATAATATGTCATATGTTGTAGATACCAGATATAATCTTTTAAAAATGGAGTTTTGCCTAAGAGCTTATTAGTTGTTGAATTTTTAAAAAGTAAGTCAGATATGAACTTGCTCACTTGATTATTGAGAAGAAAGGAATTGTCACTAAAATCTCAGGACTTAACTATGTTCCTTAGTGTGTATGGCTTTGTGTTAGAAACTTTGCTAAATTCATTTATCATTGACTTTCCAAAAAGGAGCTCCATCATCTAACAGTTAGAAAGAAATATGTAAAAGGGGTAATATGTGCTTGGACAAGTGTTGAATGTGCTCAAGAATTGCTGTAGTGTGCCAGTAGATAAGCATTAGCATATAATGTAGGAGGTCATTGTAACCATTCTGCAAACTAAATACACATGTACTCTTTTATATTTACCCTTTTAGTGTCTGACCAACCCCCAAATAGACATAAAGATGTATAAACATGTAGAGTCATTTTAGCCTGCCTTTAATCCACTAAAATCTTTGGTAATTCATGGGAGAAAATTTTTTTTTATATAACTTTCACCCAAAACAGAGACTCCACTGTGATCATTGACCTCTTTCGTGGTCTATAAAAGCAATGAACTTTCCCTAAAAAAACTTTATCCTCCTGTCCTCCCCCTCCTTTCTTTCTGCCTTCTTCTCTCCTTCTACCCTTGTCTTCCCCACTCCCTTCCCCTCCTAATTTAAGTACTTTAAAGGACCTCAAATTAAGAATTCTAAAAAGTGAGTTTCCTCAACTTCTTTCTCTCCATCCTCCCTCCCTCCGTCCCTCTGTCCATCTGCCTATCTATCTATCTATCTATCTTGCGAATGGGGACTGAACTCAGGCCCTTGTGTCCTTCCAGGCAAGCACTTATTCTATTGAGCTATCTCCCAAGCCCCTCAACTTTGTCTATTTAGGGGAAAAAATTATATATATATATATATATAATGCATAAAATGTATTCTGTCAGAGAACGTTTTCTTTCAGACTTTTATTTTTAATTTGGATCTTGCTACACAGCTGGGATTCCTAGAGATCCTCCTGTTTCAGCCTCCATAGTGCTGTGACTACAGGTATGTGCCC